CTCCATGCTCCATTCTAGGGCAGCCAGAGGGATCTTTAAGAATTGCAAATCGGATCATTTCAGTCCTTGCCTAAAATCCCCCAACGGCTCGCCATCACACTTAAAATGACACTGAGACTCTTCACCAGGGCCCGAAAGTCCCCGCGCGAGGGCCTCGGCCGGCCACACAGCCATCCTCCCCTAGGACCTCTTTTCAGTTCCTTGAGGAACCCACGTGTGTTCCCTCAGGACCTTTGCACCTGCAGATCCTTGGTGTAGCCCTCTTCCTTCCTACGCTTTAGGTGTGAATTCAAACATCACTTTCTCTTTAAAGGACCCCCCAACGTACCCCACTCTTCTTCATCAGAGTTTCTTTACAGTCCTAACATTCCCTCTGAAATGACCAAGTTCGAGCATGTGTCCATTTGCCTGTGACTCTCTGGAGTTTAAGCTGCTGGAGGCTGGGAACTTGGTGGTCTCGCGTACTGCACATAGCCAGACCCCACAACGGGAGGAGCTCAGAAAGTACTGGACGGATGGCTAGGTGCCTGGAACCCAGAGGTATTAAGGGACTTGTTCAATCACAAAGCAGCAGCAGAGCAGGGCGCCAGCCAAGACAATTGGACCCTGAACCTGGGGATTTAATCCGAGAGCTGTGTTGCCCCCACAATATTTGGTTAAGAGTTTGGCCACCTGGGTTGGAATCCCTGCCTCACTGATTTACTGTGTGTCCTTGGGCCAGGCATTTAACTTCTCTGAGCCCCAGATTACTCATATATAAAATAAGTACATTAACAATTCTAACTGTGGTTGATTAAATGAAATGGTACCAGGAAAGTGCTAGCACGGGGCCCGGCAGGAGTACCTGCTGGTATTTAGAGCAGCATATGGTTAGCACCGCCTTCCTGCTTTGAGAGTTTATAGAGAGTGGGGGCGAGAAGCTGGCCCCCCGACGTGCCTGCCTCCCCAAGCTGGGCACCTGGGTGTGCCAAGAGCGTCCTCCTGCTGGTTGGACAGGTTTTGGGGAGGGCATGCAGAGGCGCAGGGCCCAGGAGGGGCTGGCCAGGGTTAATTAGAGGGAGCTGGCCGAGAGGAGCTGGGGGAGAGGGGCTGAGCAGAGGCTGAACCTCCAAAGCCCCTGGAACATCAGTTGGCGAGGCCATGGGCCGGGGCTTAAATTCTGCCAGACTCAGGCGCCAAGAACGGCGCCTGCGACTTCGGGTCCAGAAGCCCAGGCAGCAGACAGAGGTGAGCGGCCATCAGGGAGCCCCACTCTCCTCTGGTCCCAGGTCAGCTCCTCCTGCCTGACCTGGAAACCTCTCCACTCCCCCTCGCCTCCAAGGCTCTGGTTTTCACTCTCTGCCTGCTTCTCCCTCTTGCTTCCACGCCTGTCTCAGACCCGCCTGGACCCCTTTTGCATCTGTGTGTGTGTTCACTCCAGCCTCACCCCCTCTGTCCCGGCCCCCACAGCGGCTGCAGCAGGAGAACCATGAGCTCCGCCGGGGCCTGGCAGCGCGGGGCGCAGAATGGGAGGCCAGAGCTGTGGAGCTGGAGGGGGACGTGGAGGCCCTGCGGGCCCAGCTGGGAGAGCAGCGCGCCGAGCAGCAGGGCAGTGGGCGTGAGCGGGCGCAGGCCCTCAGTGAGCTCAGCGAGCAGAACCTCCGGCTCAGCCAGCAGCTGGCCCAGGTGGGAGAACCAACCCTGTGTCCCTGGCAGAATGAGGGCGGATGCCTGTGTCCCAGTGTGGGGGTTGGTGCACTGGGCTTGGGGTCAAGGCTTAAGGCCAGCTGAGGGCTCCACTGTCTTCCCCCCCCCCACCCCCCACAGGCCTCGCAGACCGAGCACGAGCTTCAGAGAGAACTGGATGGCCTTCGGGGGCAGTGCCAGGCTCAGGTCCTGGCAGGAGCAGAGCTGAGGACGCGGCTGGAGAGTCTGCAGGGGGAGGTGAGAGCCAGCTGGGGCTGGGGGTGATCCGGGGCTGGCCCAGCACCTCCCCTCCAGCTCTGAAGTCTCTCCCCAGAACCAGATGCTGCAGAGCCGCCGGCAGGACCTGGAGGCCCAGATCCGACGCCTGCGTGAGGAGGTGGAGAAGGGCCAGGGCAGGCTACAGGCCACCCACGAGGAGCTGCTGCTACTGAGGCGGGAGAAGCGGGAGCATAGCCTGGAGGTGAGGGCAGGGGGGTGCATCTGGCCAGGGCATGGGCCACTGCCTCGGGGCTTCCTGGGAAATGAGGCCAGAGAGGGATCCGGGGAGCCCCAGAAGCTGGGCCAAGAGAGCACAGGCATTAGCCCAAGGGCAAGTGGGAGCCTAGGAAGGTGACTGAGCAGGGGTGGTCTGCCTTTAGAGTCTGGCAGTTAGGAGGCCAGGGGGTAGGCTGAAGCCAGAGATGACGGGGGCTTGGACCAGGTCTGGGGCAGTGGAGATGGACAAAAGGAAATGACAAGAGGCAGCATGGCCTGATATTTGAGATCTCAGAATCTTGCATTTTGTGGTGAAATAACGTGGGCCCTTACCCAACACCCCTTCCTACTATTGTGGGACGCCCAGCCTCAATTTCCTTGTCTGTGAGAGGGGATCGGAATGGTAGAGAGCCGCGGTGAGGGTGAGGCACTCAGCACAGCGCGGGCTTAGAAGGAAGGATCAATAAACGCTGGATGACGGCATTAACGAGTAGCAGGCCGACCGGTCGGGGAAGGGGGCGGGGCTCCGCCAGGTGACCTGATGGGGTGGGGCTGGAAGGAGGGTGATGGGAAACTTTAAAGCCAGGGCACCTGTCCGCGCCCTGCTTTATAGACGAGGAAGTTGGTATCTGCCGAGGGGAACTGCGCGGCCCAAGGCCGCCCAGCGATCTGGGGGTGGGAGCAGGATCCCTGGGGTGCTCCGACAAGCAGGACTGCCTGGCTCTGGGTGGCGCGCCGGCGCCCCCTGTAGGCCGGCGGCGGGATGAAGGCGCCCGGCGCACCTGGCTGACTGCCCACGCTTCTGTCCTTCTGTCTGTCCCTCCCGTCCCTCCGCAGCTGGAACGCGCGCGCTCCGAGTCCGGGGAGGCATTGAGCGCGCTGCGGAGGCTGCAGAGGCGCGTCTCGGAGCTGGAGGAGGAGTCGCGCCTTCAGGACGCCGACGTGTCGGTAGCCTCACTGCAGTCGGAGCTTGCTCATAGCTTCGATGGCGACCAGGACCAGAAAGCGGACGGACGCAGGGACGCCCCGGTGAGCTCGCGGCCCACTAGCCCCCACGTGCCATGCAGACTCCGCCCCTCTTCCTTTTCCCAGGAGGTCCGACACCTCACTGACCGATTCCTTTGGCGAACAGAACACTTGGTCCCCTGAGATCCAAGAGGCGTTCAGCCACCAGCCTTCACCCCAAGAGGAGAGCCTGGAGCCTCCCAAGAAGCGAGCATCTCTAAGGCCAGGAGAGATACTAGAGGAGAAGGAGGCCGAAGTGGCCCGGCTGCAGGATGAGGTGTGGGAGTGGGAGCATAGCGCTGGATGTAGACCCCCTCCCAAGGCCAGTTTCTCTTGCCCATCTACACCTCTGAGATTTTGCGCACTAATTCCCCCTCTACCTGGATCTATCTTCATCCCAACAAACTTGTAGTCATGCTTCAGAAACCAGCCTATACGCCACCTCTTCCAGGAAGTCTTCCTGGGCCGCATTCCCCTCCTTTCTCCCACCTCCTAGTGCTTCTCCCAGCATCCTTTCTGCAGGCTTATACCACCCATCCGGCCCTGCCCCCACCCCATCCTGCACCAGCCTTGGGGCTCAGAAGATTCATCTCCAGCACAGGCCGCGGCTGCCCCGAGTGTTTGTGGAGCAGGCAGGGGAGGGCCTAGAGACCCGAAGCCCTGGCTGCTGGGAGATCTAGAGGCCTACCTGCTTCTCTTCACCTTCCCCTGCCCACAGATCACGCTGCAGCGGGCAGAGTTACAGTCCCTGCGGGAGGAGCTGCAGAGGCAGAAGGAGCTGCGGACACAGGAGGACCCCGAGGAGGCCCTTAGCGGCGCCCTCTCGGATCGGGATGAAGCTGTGAACAAGTGAGCTTCTCCCACCATCCACCATAGCCCCAGTGGGACTACAGGGCACCCTAGGTCTTCGATTCCCCCACACGTGATATAATTATCCCCACCCACCAGGAGCCCTCCAACCTTGCGTCCGGTGTTAGCGGCACTACTCCCGTCCGGGTCCCGCAGCGTCCCGCCACCCCCGCTCGCTGAGGCCCGAGCGCCCTAGGACCCACTCTCTGCCCCTCTTGCCTGCAGGGCGCTGGAACTGTCCCTGGAGCTCAGCCGCGTCTCTCTGGAGCGGGACTCGCTCTCCCGGGAGCTGCTTCGCACTATCCGCCAGAAGGTGGCGCTGACGCAAGAGCTGGAGGCCTGGCAGGTGAGGGGCGGGGGCCTGAGGCAGCGGGAGCCGGAAGGGGCGGGGCCAGTGCGCTGACCACCCCGCCTCCTCCCGCCGGCTGCCGGACCCGCAGGACGACATGCAGGTGGTGATCGGCAAGCAGCTGCGCTCGCAGCGCCAGAAGGAGCTGAGTGCGGCCGGATCTGCCCCACGTCGCGCCGCACCGCGCTTCTCGCTGCGCCTGGGCCCTGGGTCCGCCGGCGGCTTCCTGAGCAATCTCTTCCGAAGGACCTGAAGGCTGGGCGAAGGAGGCCGCCCATGCCCTCTGGTTCACTTTCCTCTTCTGGCCAGTGTAGCACCAGGGCCCTGATTGTCTTCCAGAGGGGGTGCCCTCCCCGCCCCAGGAAGCTGGGCAAAGGCTCAATGGGAGCAGGGGCCAGCTTTGGGGGCCAAGGGCCCCAGGTGGGTGGCGGGGCAGGTGAGGCAGAGCTGAGTTTTCAATCTATACAGACCTATATTTTCTAAGCACCCTGGGTCTGCCATGCTCCAGGGCAGAGATGGGGGTGGGTATTTATGTATCAAGATCAAACAGAGTAATATATAAAAATCATTACACCGACTTGGCCTCCATTCTTGGGAAGAACATGAATGGGAAAATAGCCTGAAAATTTCTTTATTAAAAAAAAAAGAAAGAAAAAAGCACTCCAAATCCCTGGGATGGAAGAGGTGTTGCCAGAGGTCAGAAGGACAAGGAGAAGGCGCGGTAGCCCAGATTGGTGAAGACATCCACCCGGCAGCTGTTACCTGCAGCTGTCAGGACCTGGAGGCAAGACAGGGGTGACTGGCCTGTCCACATATGTGGCCCCCCGGACCCCCACAGCCCCTTGCAGAACCCACCTTGCACTCGGGTGCTGCTGGCTGCTGGTTGAGACTGAGGCTAAGCAGCCCTGGGGAGGAGCCAGGCACCTGGGCCTTGAGCTCCCCACTCAGCTGCCACTGGTTGACACAGCGGCCTTGGCCAGCAGACAGAATCTGTGGAGGGCAAGGAGGGGGGTCGGGGGTCAGGACTGGAGAGGGGAACTGGGCAAAGGTGGCAGAAGCAAGACAGAGGGCCTCACCAGGTCCTGGTAGAAGGTGACGTGTTTCTGTGGCGCCCGCATGGGGAAAATGGTGGTGGGTGTGGAGGATCGGAGGTGCCAGAGGGTGAGTGCTGGGCCGCCTCCACAGACCTGGGCAGAAAGGTGGGGATCCCCAGCCACTGTAAGCTCAGGCCCTCAGCTGGCAGGGCCCGGAGCGGTCACCCCATTCTACACCTCGCCCTGCTCACCATCCAGTCTGAGTCAGTTGCCAAACATCCAATCCAACGCCCATTGTGGGGTCTCGAGCACTCCTAAGGGAAAGGACGGGAAGAGAGAAGGAGATGAAGATACAGGGGATGCCTAGGAAGGTGGAAGGGAGGACAGGGCATGGGGCATGCCCTCACCTCATGCTTATACACCTCGATGGTCTGGACTTCCTTGGCTGTGCGGAGGTCTGTGGGGAAAGAACCATGAGAAGAGCCCGGCTGGCCCCAATCTCCCTCGCCGCCATCTCATCTTTCCCTCCAACCGGACACTAACTTACCCCAAAGTCTCACGGCTCCATCCTCGCCACCCGACAGCACTTCAGGGCTCCGCTCCCGCAGTGCCAGGCAGTGGATATAGTCCATGTGGCCCCGGAGGGCCCGCTGCAGGAGGAGGGCCGCTGTCAGGAGGAGATCCAGGAAGAATGCCCCTACTCCCATCCAGCCCTGACCACCCCAGCTCCATGGCTTGCTCACTGTGAAGGCCCCAGTCTCGAGGTCCATCGTATGCAACTGACAGTCTCCCCCTGCCAGGATGAGAGAATTCTCCTACAGAAGAAGGCAAGGTGGAATCACAAGTCAATGTCGAATCAGGACAGGAACAGGGGAAAGGCTTTTAAGTTTGGACCAAGAACAGGGCAGAGTAGAGCCCCAGTCACAAAGGGATCAGACCTTGGGGACGAGAAGCAAAGCATTGATCTCAGGCACTTCTAGGCTGGTCCTGGGAGAGAGAAAGCGAGGTCAGCTCTGATGAGGCGGTACCTTCACCCCCAAGTACCTTCTGCCCACATGGCCCTAGCTCACCTGTATGGGGGCTGACGCCGCCACAGCTCCTTACAGCCCTTCATGGAGGGAAACACTGGATCATGTCAGAGGCTCTCTGGGACCAGGAACCCCAGCCCGTCCCCCAGTTCCACACTCCTTACCTTCTTGAGGATCTCTGCCCAAAGCCAGGCCTTCACCTCCCCATCCCCAGCACTGAGCAGATGTCGATCAGTGGAGACCATGCTGTAGACGGGTCCATCATGGGCTAGATGGAAATGCAGGACCTGAGTGACCCTGTCCTGTTCCCCTCCCCTACCCGGGGGTTCTCTAAGCCAGACTCAATGGCTGCACCCACCTTGGAATGTGACCACAGGCTTCTTACTTTCTTCTTTGGCCTCAGAGCTCAAAGCAGCAGACAAGCTGAAGGGAGAGGGGAGGGCAGCCTGAGAGTCAGAAGCAGGGGGCATCAGTCCCAGGGGGTACAAGTGCTAGAGCTACCGGGTGGTGGGAGCCGGGGTGAGGGTACCTGAAGATGGCTATCTGCCCATAATTGTTGCCAGCTGCCAGGAACTTCCCGCAGGGTGAGACACTCTGGGAGAAAATGGTCATGTGGAGCCGCTGCAGGGCCTGAAACACTTCCATCTGTGGGGAGAGGCTGCATGGAGGCTACCTGGGACATCTAGGACCTGCGAGTCAGACTCCTTCCTGCTTCCCCTGCCGCCTGTCTGGCCTCTCACTGCCCAGATCGCTCAGCCATCCTTTGAGGCGAACCACCAAGTGCGTGCCTGCCCATTGAGACCCAGGGCTTGCTCCAAGAACAGGGTGAGGAAGCGGGCACCTGAGGCATGACGTCTACCGGGACCTTGAGCAAGCACCCAGTCTGGCCTCCAAGGTTCCTCAAGTGTCAAATGGAGCTCACGGGAGACTGTCACAGGTGTCTGAGCTCCTGTATCGAGCTTCGCATACAGCTGCCTCATAATAAGCGCTTAAAAAGTGGCTCCATTACTCCAGTACAGAAAAACATACTGACTTCTAATCCCTACCCTCCTACTTTCACGTTAGGCCCCTAAGGTCTTGCTGCGTTACCCTCCCGCTCCCGGGTCACAGTCCGAGTCCCACGCAAAACAGAGCTCAGGGCACGACTCCTTGCCGCCCCTTCCGAACGGGGCATGGACTACAAACCCCAGAATGCACCGCGCACCACGCCCGCCTCACCTGACCCAGAGGTACAGCGTATGGCACAGCTCGCTCCATGTGGAGAACTACAAATCCCAGAGTGCTCAGCGCGACGCAGCTTCACGCGTCTGGACGTGCCCGCGAGCGGTTCCCCTTTGGGGCACCGCACAGCCCCAACACCGCCAGCCGTCCCGGCGCGAAGGCGGCCGCCGAGTATTACCCAGAGCCTCAGGATCCAAGGTGACCGCCGTGAAGATCGCCAACAAGAAGTAGCTCCCACCGCAGCCCCGCTACTCCAGATCCCCTCCCCCACCTCGCCGAGCCCACCGGCCTTCTAGCCCCGCGTCGCTCGCCTTCCGCGCCTGCGCAGAACCTCGCCGCCGCGCGCGCCTAAAACCACGCCTCTCGCGCTGGACCACGCCCTCTGAGGCTCCGCCCTGTCGGCCGGATCCCACCCTCTGCCTGCAGGACCCCGAACCCAAATGATCCTGCAGCAGCCCCTGGAACGAGGCCCCCCAGGTCGGGCCCAGCGCGACCCACGGGCCGCGTCAGGGACGCCCCGAGCCCAGGACGTGAGGTGTGTGTAAGGGCACTGGGTGGGCCTGGCCCAGGGGCCCAGGAGCTTTGGCTGTGGGCTCGGGGCTGGTCTGCAAGATGACACGCGGTGGGGCGAGTCGGCAGGGCTTGGGCATAAGCTGAGACACGGCTGAGAGTTCTGAGGCAGGCTGCTGGCTAGGCTGGGAGATGGGGTGACTTAGGTGTCAGCTGAGACGGGTGGTCTGGGGACTTCCTAGCTTACACTGCAGGCACTGGAGAGCAGATCCTGGGGATGGGGCCAAGAGGGTGGAGTGCACCTGGCTTTCTTTTCTTCCCAGCTCCCCTCTCCGAGGAGCTGTGCCCATGAGCACCAAGCGGCGCCTGGAGGAGGAGCAGTGAGTTTGGGGGCAGGGAGGGACTCCCAAGACCTCTGTCACATTAGGTCCCCATCAGACTGCCACCAATGTGAATATCCCAGCCTGCCTTTTTTCTGTCTCTCCCCAGGGAGCCCTTGCGAAAACAGTTCCTTTCTGAAGAGAACATGGCCACCCACTTCTCTCGACTCAGCCTGCACAATGACCACCCTTACTGCAGCACCCCCATGGCTTTCCCCCCATCTCTGCCCCCACTCAGGTAGGCACCATCCACCATCCACCGTCTGGGCCTTCTGGAGGATCACACCCCATCTTGGAGCCAGTCTCTAGGCCCTGCCTCATCCTGCTATTTTTAGCTTCTAGCCAACCTCTGTTGTTTCCCGTCTTGGCTCCTTGGAAGGTGCTGGCAGCCCAAGAGCTCTTGGGGACCTGGACCTGGTGGGAGGTGGCTCTTCCAGGCCAGCCTCAGCCCCATGCTGTTATTTCCTTTTCCAGGAGCCCTTGCTCTGAGCTGCTTCTCTGGCGCTACCCTGGGAACCTGATCCCTGAGGCCCTCCGGCTGCTGAGGCTAGGGGACACCCCCACCCCCCACTACCCTGCCACCCAAGCTGGAGAGATAATGGAGCTCTGAGTGCTGGTGGGCAGTATTTCTGCCCACCTTCCTTCTTCCCCACAACAGAGAAGACCAGCATCCCTCCTGAGGGACCAGCTTTCCTAAATATTCTCCAGACTAGGCCTCTGGGCTCCAGGACCTACCCTCTACAGAGGAGGACACTGAATCCCACAGAGCCCTGGGGAGGGAGGGGCAGGAGGGACAGGAGCATGGGAAGGGAGGCATTCCCCCCAGAACTGAATAAAGATTGCTGAGCAAATGAAGGCTTCAGTCTGGAACCCTGGGGCCTTTGGGAAGGAAGGTGGGAAGGCTGGGGCGCTGGATGCTTGCGGTTTCTCAGAATCTTCCCTGGAAAAAACGGTCAGGGGCCCGGCCAGGTCCTGGCAGGCTGGGCTCAGGCATTGAGAATGTGTGAGTCAGAGCCTCACCCCCACCCCCGCGGCTGACTCACTCCTCCCTCCAGCTCTGGGAAGTTGGGCTGGGGATCATGCCACTCTCCGAACCATTTAAAGTTAAAGATTCTTTTATTAATAAATTCTCCCGCCCTTCCAAACTCTCTCCCCAAAATAAATATTTCCCCCCCTTTGGGGGTTGGGGGGGACAGTGTCTTAGGGCCAGCCCCCCTAGAGGGCCAGCCCCCTAGTGTTAGCAACAGGTCCCTAACCCCCCAGACAGAGACCCCATGGTGGAATTTCAGTACATCTGAGTGGGTGGGGCCTGGTGTCTGGCCCTCAGGTCAGCCTGGCCCTCAGGCCATGGGGGTGGAGGGAGGGACGCCTTGTGCAAATGCTGCGGTTCCTTAGTGTCAGCTGTCTGGTGTGAGCCCGCGTGGGTCTCCTTTCCTGTCCTGGAGCCAAAGACAGGGCAGTCAGACACCTTGGAAGGCTCCTCTGAAGCCTGGGCCCAGGCCTCGGAGAGCTGATTCACCAGTCCCCCATCCCTCCACACCCCTGTGGTTGGAAGAGTCTGGCTCTGGCTGTCTCGGGTGAGGGAGCGGGCTCCAGAATGAATGAGTGAATGAATGAATGAATGAATGAATGGTGAGTGGGTGGGGCCTCCTGCTGGCAAGGGCTCTCACTGTCACTGGATCAGTGCCACACCAGGACAGCCCTCCCCGCCGGTCTCCTCGATGGGGGCTGCAAAATAAGAAGAGGCGTGGTCAAGAGCAGGGGAGATGTTGAGGAATGGTGGGGGGGGGGGGCGGGCCTGGCTCACTTACTAGTAAACTTCTCTCTCCTGCGGCACCGTCTCCAGACCAAGAAGCCAGAAAGCAGTCCCAGCACGAGAGCTAGGCTCAGAGCACCCCCCAAGATGGGCCACAGCAGTGGGAAGGAGGCTGGAGGGGCCGCAGCGCCTGGGGGCAGGACTCCAAGTTAGACCTCGCCCCTTTCGGTACTAGCCCCGCCCCCTAGATCTGAGCCCCAAGCCTTTCCCCCACCTTGGCCCCTGCCCTGATCCGATCCCTTCCCCACCCCAACTCCCACCCCCCTTCCTGATTAATTCCCAGATCTGAAGCCCACTGCTCCCCTCTCCACCCCCGCAAACTCTCTCCGACTCTGGGGTCCGCTCGCCCCTGGTCCCTCTCCCCCCGCCCCCCACTCACAGCCCAGGCAGAAGTCGCTGTGCGGTCGCGCCGGGCACGACGCGCAGTCCATGCACTTGTCGAGGTCCGCGCTCCAGGAGCTGCCGCGAGAGCAGGGGGTGGTGCCTGGGGAGGGGGCCGCGGGTCAGAGGCTGGGGCGGGGCACGGCTATTCTGGGGGCTGAGGTCAGGGTCGGCCGGCTCGAATAACGTGAGTCACCGGCGCCCTCCCCCCGCATTCCTCACAGGTGACCGCACGGCCCGACCGGGACTCAGCAGCGTGGGGGCAAGGGGGGCCTAGCGCGGGACGCTGTGGGGGGGGGTATCAGGTCCCCACACCACCACCCCCCGCAGCCGGCGGGTGACTCACTCCTGGGCACCGGGCCCGACCCCAGTCCCTCCCCCCGCATAGCTGGGCACTGAAGTCACCGGATGGAAGGGGGCACCCCACATGGTATAGAGGGTACAGACCCCCGTGCCCTCGATACCACCCCCCCCCCCCGAGACTCTTCGGTCACTGAGGCCAGACAGACCAGGTCCTGAACAGGATGGAGGCGTGCCTTCTCACCGAAGGAGACATCCCGCCCTCAAACTTTCTCCCTCTACTTCCGAGTCTGGACTTACTAGGACAGAAGCCGCCCCTCCATTTGAACAGGGGGGAAACTGAGGCTGGGACTGCGGATGAAGTTCGGAGCGGGATGAACCTCTCCTGGCCAGGGAGCGCGGTGTCTGGAAACCACCTAACCCCGAATCCCCGTGTCCGCCTAGTTCCCCCCAGTTCGGCCTCGTTCTCTGGGTCCCCAATGCCGACTCCCCGATCCCCGGTGAGAGGCTCCCCGGGTCCCCGCGGCCTTCCGCCCAGCCCGGGCCCCGCCCCCGGCGTACCTGGCACTCGCTCCCCGACCGCCGCGCCCAGCAGCGCCAGCCCGAGCACCAGCACGAGGAGCCGCGGCAGCGGACGCAGCGGACCGGGAACCATTGTGCGCGTCCGGCGGCCGTGGCCGTCTGAGCCTGCCGCGCGCGGGCCGGGGCGGACAGCGGCGGCCCCGCCTCCGCCCCCGCCTTCCGGGGCGGCTCCCTCGGCTCTGCCCGCCCCGCTACCGGCTCTTGGACGCCCCGCCCCGCCTGGCTCGCTAAGTTCAGTCATTCGCTCCACAAGCAGCAACTCGGTGCGCCAGCGGCTGGGACCCCCAGGGACGCAGACCTGGCCCTGTCCTGTGGATGCTGAAGTCCGGGAAGTTGGGGGTGGGAATCAGACACGAACAACCCATCTCAAAGATAACTGCAGCTTTCGGAAGGGAAAAAGAAGGGGGGGAAATCGGAGGGAGAGACGAACCATGAGAGACTATGGACTCTGAGAAACAAACTGAGGGTTCTAGAGGGGAGGGGGTGGGGGGATGGGTTAGCCCGGTGATGGGTATTAAGGAGGGCACGTACTGCATGGAGCACTGGGTGTTATACGAAAACAACGAATCGTGGATCACTACATCAAAAACGAATGATGTATGGTGACCAACATAATAAAATAAAATGTAAAAAAAAACAATAACTGCAGCTTTCTTAAGGGCCCCGGGATATAATGATAACGACATAACAAATAATAATAATAAGTCTTTAATTTCTACCTTAGGACATAGCTACACAGTAAAATGTGGGCTTGTTGTCTCCGATTTTTCCGAGTATGAAACGGAAGCTTGGGAAGGTTAGGTGAGTTCCCAGGGTCACAGCACTAGTAAGTAGCGGAGTCAGGAGCCAAGCTCTAGCCCCATGCCCTGTGCCCTGACCCACTGCGGGCCGGCGTCAGCCAGCTGAGGTCCCAGCGCCCGGGCCACATGCGGGGGCAGCGGCCCCAGACTCGAGCGACCCCAGCTGACGAGGTTGAGATTCGCGCGCCCGCGGTCTGGAATGGGGTCTCTGCCCCTCCCCGGGGCGGTGGTCCAGTGACGTCACTGCCTCTTTAAGACCCCCCGCCTCCGCCCCCGTCCGCACACTCTGCGGTTCCTACGAATCCCTGTGGGCTTCTTCGCAGGTGAGCCGGGGGAAATGCCAGTGTTGGAGGGGAAGAGGCGGACTCCTCGAGGAGTGGGGTGCAGGGGGCGTGGCGGCGTGGGTGGGGGTGCGTGTAGAGAACTTGGACTTACCTGGGTGGGGGGGCCACCGGGGCACAGCCCCTGGGCGGGGGTCTGCACCGAAGCCGCGGTGAGCTGATCAGGTCCTTCTGCAGCCACGGAAGGGTTAAACGCCCCTCCCCCTCCCCCGGGACAAAGGCACCGAAACCCGGGCGCCCCTCCCCCACCTGCGCTGCTCTCTGGGGCGGGGTTCCCCTCCCCCTCACCTACCGGAGCGGACCCTGCTGATAACCGCCGCCATTAAGCCCTTCCCGCAGCGCGGCTCACAGGTCGGGGGTCTGCGGACCCTTCTTCGGGCCGGACTCAGAAGGGAAATAGGGATCGAAAGCAGGAGGGGGCGCCCTCGGACCAAGGCGGCCCCGTAGTGTGCGGAAAGAGAAGTGGTCGAGGGCAGGGGTAGGGTCTTGGAGTGGAGAGGTGCCGGGTGCATGGGCCGGCGCTAACACCGCCAGAGGCGTGGAGGGCCGACACTGGAGTTGGGATGAGCGCGGTCTGGGCCGCCCCGTCCGATCTCCCCCGAAGTCTTTAGCTCCGCCAGGTATGGGCGGGATGCAAATGAGGAGTGCACGGTCTGTCCTCTGGCCACACTGCTGGGGCCGGTGCTAAATTCAGGTCCAGATCGTGTGCGGGAACTTTGGGTAATGGAGAGCCCCAACAGGACCCCGAACAGAACTGACCCCCGAATTGAGCCACAACACTAAGTGGGATGTGAAGGGAGACAAGTGAGGGGAGGCTGCCGAGGGGCCGGTTCACTGGACACACTCCAAGGATTTAGGTCCTTTTAGGGGAATTGAGTCCTGAGAGGTTGGCGTTTTGAGCAAGAAGGCACAAGAAAATGTCCCCAACCTTGGAGGTATGTTCAGTGTGACCCTAAGGGAGGGCAGAAGAGCGGGACCCAGTGGGGCAGCAGGTAGCCATGAGAAAGAAGTGCTTTTGGGTGAGAGGGTGGTATTTTTTTTTTCTTCTTCTTCTTCATTTCTCCTGCCCCTCTGGAGTTTGCTGCTGGGCTGGGCCAAGTAGGGCCAGGCAAGGCCAGAGATGAAGGATCACCTGAGACACATGTCATTACCCTCCTGGGGGGATGGAACCAGGTTGGGGTGAGGGGTTTGGACACAGCTATTGCGTGGTGGGAGGAAGCTGGGATCTCTAATCTTGATTTTGAAACTGACAGGTTTTTAACTTGAAACTCATGGCTAGAGCCAACCCACCATCTGTGTGCCCCAAGGAGACCATCTGGAAATTGCCCTCTCTTTTGTTTTGTTTTGTTTTTGCTACTTTGCTGTCTGATAAAATGTATGCAAAGTGGCTGGGGCGGTAGACTAGCCTCAGGATAGGCTTCATGTCTCATTTGCACTCAAAGCAGCCAGGACTGGGTCACTTACTTACTCGCTCTTGTTAGTCAAGACAATCACATAACCAAGGAAAAAATTACAAGCTCAAACATCAAGTGTTCGTTTTGCCCATGAGAAAATGAGGCTTGGGAAGAGTGCCCTGCCCATGGTGTACTGACTTCCTGGGTTCATACTCTCGCTGCCCTGTGTGGTGGCCACAGCTCATTGGGAACAAAGGGTCTGGACCAGCCTGTCTTCACATTAGTCTGCTTCTGTCCCCCAGTGCAGCTCCTCTCAACCTCAACTTTGCCATGGCTTCCGCTGGTCTGCAAATCCTGGGGATCATCCTGACACTGCTTGGCTGGGTGAATGCTCTGGTGTCCTGTGCCCTGCCCCTGTGGAAGGTGACCGCCTTCATCGGCAACAGCATCGTGGTGGCCCAGGTGGTGTGGGAGGGGCTGTGGATGTCCTGCGTGGTGCAGAGCACAGGCCAGATGCAGTGCAAGGTGTACGACTCCCTTCTGGCACTGCCCCAGGACCTGCAGGCCGCCCGCGCCCTCTGCGTCATCGCCCTCCTCTTGGCCCTTCTCGGGCTGCTGGTCTACCTTGCGGGAGCCAAGTGCACCACCTGCGTGGAGGACAAGGACTCCAAAGCCCGTCTGGTGCTAGTCTCTGGGATCATCTTTGTCATCTCAGGGGTCCTGATCCTCATCCCTGTCTGCTGGACGGCTCACGCCATCATCCGGGACTTCTACAACCCCCTGGTGTCGGACGCCCAAAAGCGGGAGCTGGGGGCCTCCCTCTACTTGGGCTGGGCGGCCTCTGGTCTTTTGTTGCTGGGCGGGGGGCTGCTGTGCTGTACCTGCCCCTCTGGGGGGTCCCGGGGCTCGAACCATTATATGGCCCGATACTCAGCATCGGCCGCACATGCCACCTCTCAGGGGGTCCCTGAGTACCCCACTAAGAATTATGTCTAAATCTGGTAGGGGAGTGGAGACTCCCTCGACAGTGGAGCCTAACCCCCTGAGCTGGAGACATGGAGATGGTAATCCAGACAGCTTGGGGGCTGTTTTTATCTTTTTTGCTTTTGGGGGGAGGGGAATTTTTAAAGTTCATTTGAAAACCTAACCAAGGAACCCAAGTCTCTCCTGGGCTCAGCTGTTGGTATTTCTCACCTCTGGATGATGGAGCCAAGGAGGTGATGCTTCACAAATTCTAGATCTTTCTCCACCCTGGACATCCCCATATTGGAGGCCAACCTGGAGCTGTGGGCCAACATAAGGCTGCCTGCTGTTGAGGTGCTTTCAGCCTGTCCCCGAGTCCCTCCTTACTGGTCAGGCCTCTGGAACCCCTGGGGGCTCTTGAGCCTCACGGATGATAAATCACCAAAGAACTGGCCGCCTCCAAGTCTTCTGACCTCTGGCTCCTCTATCTTGAGTCCCGAGTCCTGTCCTGGTTGTGCTGTAGACCCCCCTCCCCCACCCCGATCCTCTCACCTTCAACCCTTGCACACTTCTGCCACGCCTCCCTCCATACACACACACCAGTTTTTGCTAAATAAAGCATGTCTTATGAAGAGCCAAGGTACAAATTCTGTTTATTCCCAACTAGTAGGTGGGCATAGAAGGTTGGGTGATAGACTGGGCCTCCTGGCCTGGACCTCTAGATGCAGGTGGTGGCCAGACTGGAGAGGACCCACCGCAGGCAGGCGTCCCCTCCTTATTTTGGAGACAAGGACCTGCTGCCCTTTGGGTGAAGCCCCAGGCTCCTGGGACAGGGGTGGCCCCAGAGGAAGAGGACGGACAGCCTAAGTTGTGGACCACAGAAGGAAGCAATTTGTCCGGGGGAGGCAGGGGCAGACCAGCACACCCATCAGCTCTGGCTCTGCCTGGGTGGAGGTAGGGGAAGGGCTCATGGGGACCCCACTGAAGAGGTTCTGGACTCAGCTGGGGCAGCTGATACCAGGTCTAGCCAGGCCCGATTGGAGCGTCTGGAAAATGGGTTTTGCCCTGGGGGACGGGTTAGCAGTCGGGGGCAAGGGTCAGGGCAGGGCATCCTGCACAAGGTCAAGGCTCTGAGCCGCAGGCTTCCAGGGACACTTTCCACCTCATACGTAGTCCCTCTTGTCCAGCCCAGATGCACCTGAGCGGGAGGGGATGGAGTAACCCAGCCTCGGTCCTCGGGGCCGGTCGATCTGGGGTGGAGGGCATGTGCAGCAGAGGAGGCCCCCCCCCAGCATGAGCAGGGCAGCAGCGGCCCAGCCCAGGTAGAGGGAGGCCCCCAGCTCCCGCTTGAGGGCCTCGGCCACCAGAGGGTTGTAGAAGTCCTGGATGATCGCGTGCGCAGTCCAGCAGACGGGGATGAGCACCAGGATCCCCGAGAGGAGGAGGAGGACCCCCGCGGTGAGCATGATGCGGGCCTTGGCACCTTCGTCCTCCACGCAGGTGGTGCACTGGGCCCCAGTGATGGCCATCAGCAGCCCGAGCAGGGCCAAGAGGAGGGCGACGACGCAGAGGGCGCGGGCGGCCTGCAGGTCCTGGGGCAGTGCCAGAAGGGAGTCGTACACCTTGCACTGCATCTGGCCTGTGCTCTGCACCACGCAGGACATCCACAGCCCCTCCCACACCACCTGGGCCACCACGATGCTGTTGCCGATGAAGGCGGTCACCTTCCACAGGGGCAGGGCACAGGACACCAGGGTGCCCAGCCAGCCCAGCACAGCCAGGGTCATGCCCAGGAGTTCAAGGGCAGTTGAAGCCATCTGTCCCCTCAGGTCTTCTTAACCCGAGACGGCCTGGTTGACTCACAGGGGTGGGTCCGATGCTGCCGGGTGGGGGTCTCGGTGCCCAGCACAAGGGAAACACTGTGTCCTCGGCCCGGACTGTCCTCACATCTGTGGGCCTCTTGCAAAGCACCTCTCTTTGAGCCCCTCAAAGGCCTACCTCTGACCCCGACACGCACCAATCAATCTCACAGTCCTGCTCAGCGGAGTCGCGGTGTCCTCTCGAGGGCCCCGTTGGCTACCAGACGCCCAGTGGCTGCCTCTCCTGCCACCCTGCAGTCACGTCCCGGCCGCCGCCCCTCCTGACCCACCTTCAGCTGAGAAGAGCCTTGTGCCGCTGGAGGCCCAGGCTCACACGGAGCAGCGCACCCTCTGTGGGTGTCACCCGGGGACTCGGCCAGCTCCCAGATGCAGGCGGGGTTTTGAGGTGGAGGCGGGGGAGGGGCAGCAAAGCCAACTGGGGAAGCCAGAGCTACAGGGAGAAGGCGGGGCTGGGGGTGGGATGGGGAGCCCGGGAGGGAGTACCGCGACCGGATCGGGGAAGGAAAGAACCTCCGTGCCTGTGGGAATGCAGGGACAAAGGAAAGGGGAGACTGAGGACCAGCTGGGGAGCGGGGAATGGGGGAGTGATGGAGCTCTGGTAGGCTCAGCAAAGAGAAGCGGAGGTTGGAGGTTAAGTTGCCTCTCTGAGCCGCCGCCTCCTCCCCCAGCAACTCCTCCCTGTAAGCTTTTCCTTTCCTGTTGCAAACACACCCAGATCCCCCAGTATCGCACACCCCAACCCGCTCATGTCCCCCTGCCTGCCCCAGGAACCCGATCTGTCTCCAGTCTCAGCCCAGTGGCCCTGGCTGCTCTCAAGGGAGGGGCCCCGCCCTTACCGTTCCCCAGGCGACAGGTGCCTGGCGCCCAGCTCAGGTGGCATCACCCAGGCAACGGCCTAAAAAGTTCCCTCCACACACACTTCTTCCTGGGCTCAGGTGTGCCCTTTCCAGGCCCGATACTGAAACTGAGGGCCGAGCTGAGCTGCCGCAGGTCTCTAGGGCCCAAGGGGTAAAGAGTCTGTTGTGGAAGTAGGGGAGGGGCACACAGGGGTCTGTGGGTGAAGGGGGAAGAGTAGCAGAGACAGAAGCCCTGGATGGGGGTGAAGCCTCAGGACCCAAGTCTTTTCCATGAGGAGTAAGTGATCACTCTGGAGGAGACCCCATGGAGGAGGGCAAGAGGATGAAGCCCAGGTGAACCCTTCCTCACAGTCCTCAGGAAAGACCCTCCCGCTCCTGAAGACCCCCTCGGAGCCTGTGACTCCCCTTGTGGGGGACAACCTGGGACTCACAGACTATAACCCAAATCCTGCCACCAACTAGGGACAGATTATGGGAGGTCAAGGTCCTTAACCTCCTTAGGTCAAAGACCCCTGTGAGAAACCTTATGGGACCCACAAACATGGGCCCCTCGTCTTGGGGGTCATGAACTCCCTCAAGCCCCTTCCTGGGTGCTAGGAACTGAGGGAAAAGGAACGGGGGTGGGGGACGCTGATGAAAATTCCTTCCTTTCATACACTTTCCTGGGTGGCTGGCGGACCCCCTAAGGCAGAGCTGGGCCCCCATCTGTAAGAGCCTCTCACTTCCACACCTCCTGAGGATGGCCCACGGCCTGTCTGCCCTATGAGGAGGCACCCCTTGATGGCCTGGGAGCTAACAGGGCCACTGGGGGCAGGCCTCGGAGCTGCCACCCCCCCACCCCCGCACACATGGTCACTCACTGCACCTCTCTAGGGCCCTGGGAGTGGTGTGCACTGGGCGTCTCTTCGCCCGTTCAGTGGGGCTTAGTCTATAAAGGATTTTAACTTCAGGTGGGTGCACTGCTTCTGGGAATGGGTTTTAGCACTTTGGGGAAGAGAGGTTTATACTTTCATCAAATTTGCAAAAGGGTCAGTGACCAAAAGAAGCTTGAGAGAACTGCTAAAATGGAGACTGAGGCCAGCACCCATGAGTGGGGCTGTAGGGTAGAGTGCGGTGGCCCAGTGGACATGGCGGGGAGTGGGAAGGGGCCAGAGCCGGCCGTGGCTGGGCCAGCTGGCTGTGATGGGCCTGGGGAATCTCCGGGAAGTTTGTCCAGCTCATCCAGCCCCTGGGGCCCTAGATTTCATGGTCGGGAGGGGCGGCTGAGGAGAAGGACAAATAGAGGCAAGCCTCGGGGCCTGGAGGAATCCGGACACACAGGTTGAAGCAGTTGTCAGGAGGCAGCAGGGAGCCCGGGTCTGGGGCTCTGCGAGGGGCCCAGCAACCCTCCCAAGGGGCCTCCCATCCTGGGCAGCCCAGCCCAGGGTCTTTTCTCTCTCTAGGCTCAGAGAAAGCCCTGGGCTTAATGAGACCAACTCATCCTGATTTGCCCAGAGAGCTGGTCAGCCTGCAGTCGGGCCTGGCACCAAGGACCCCTCAGTTCCACAGATAGGTCCAAACCCCCAGCGTTGTGACAGGACCAGTGGGGTGCCGCGGAGGACCCTCATTGTTTTAGATCCCAATCCCTCTTGGGCTCAACATGTCAACACTCAAGCAGAGAAGAGCTGCACACTGCCAGGGGTTGGCTGGCCACGTGGGAGGTGGTGCTCAGAGGCTGAAGACACCGCCCTTTCACCCCCAGACCAATCCGTACCAGAACTGTCTTGGCGGGGGGGCAGCTTCGGCTTCCTCCCACCTGTCTACTCTTTTCCCTCTTTATAAGACAAGGCACCCCCCCACCCAAGGCCTTCAGGGAGGGTGAAAGTGGGGCAGGCTGTTGGAGAACAAGGGGAGGTTGAGAGGTCACCAGGGCTGGTCAGACGAACCGCCAGTAGGAGGGGTAAGCAGCGAGGGCGGATTCCCGGGGCACCCAGGCAGGACAGCCTTCCCACCCTCAGCCCTCAGGCCCTCTCTTCGGTCCCCTGGTCCACCTGGACTCAGTAGGATCTGGGAACCAAAGGGTTAAAGTTGGGGCCCAGCGGGGACTGTAAATGGGGCTGGAATGCCATTGATATGGAGAGGTGGGGACTCCCTCGGCGTGGTTACCACCTCAATGGCACTTTAACACGTCCGCTGGAATCCCCACCCCCACCACCTCCGCCCAGGAAAGTGGTGGGGGAGGGAAACCTGCCCCAAGACACTACTGTGGAGGGAAACTGAGGCACGGGAAGGGAGGGCAGCCTCGCCCCGCTCACTGCTTCAGGGGGTGGCAGAACTGGACCTGAACTTTGTTCTCTGGGAGGGCAGTGGGGTGGGGCCACTCCACCAGGACTTAGATGGGGGAAGGGCAGAAGAGGGTTAACTCCAATCCCAACATCTACCACACTTTTCGAGAAAAGTGTGGCCCAAAGACAAAGGAGGGGAACTGAAGGTCCGAGAGCCACCATGGTGCCAAGAAGAGTATGGGGTGGGCTTGGGGACGGGCTTGGGGAGCATCAGCCTCTGCTTTGGGGAGGTGCCCAAGGCCCCAGACTTTATGGGTAGAAAAGCCAGATCCTCTGGTCCCTGAAACAAAAGGTGCAGATGAAACCCTGGGGTCCCATGACAGCTATCTACCCCCATTTTACAGACAAGGAAACAAGCTCCAAGAGCAATGGGAACTTGGCCACGGGTCCTTGGGAGAAATACGATAAGCCTGAAGGAGCCCCAGACCCTGACTTCAAGGCCCAGCACCCAGAGCCCAGTGCTGGAGGGTGAGCTGGGGCTCCTGGTGCCTCTTTCCCCAAAGGCAGCCGGGGAGCCCCCCACAGGCCACCCCACCCACATCTTGCCCCATTCCTCCCCCACCCCCGCCTGCATTCCCTCCTTCCCCTGACTCTTCCAGGCACCCTGCACCCTGTGCTGGGAAGCCTCTGCAGGGAACTGCATCTGGACCTGATTACACCAGGAGCCACCCCACCTCTGCTGCACCTTCCCTGTGTCTGTGTCCCCCTGCTGTGGGCAGCCTAAGGGACGCTGGGTCAGACCTCTCTGGGCAAGTCACAAGCGCAGTAACCTCAGCTGCCTCCTGACTGTAAGAGGGAGGGAGAAGTCTGCCTTGTTTACCCCCAGGGTCACTACAAGAATTTGCCCAGGCGGGGAGCACCCCATGCACCTTGGGGATCACCCTAGGCACTGACTTGACACGAGAGTATCTTGTTAACGGCACCATGGCCATTTCACTCGCAAACCTAGTCAGACTCCATGGATCCGAGAGCAATTAACTTTATTATCTGTCGGAACTGTCAGCTTTCACCGGCCGCAGTTATTCATCCGGGGTTCAGAGGGCGGGGTCGCCCCTCACCTCACTGCTGTGATCTTTAAGAGCATGCGTTCAGTCTTGTCCTTCCTGTCTGACTCTTAGCGGAGGAGCGAGGAGAGGAGAGCTGCAGGATGCAGAGGGGTGCAGGAAGCAAGCCGGCAGGAATGGGAACTCAGCCAGAATTCAAGAAAGGGGACAGGGAGTCATTAAAGTACTTGTGCCTTTGGCTCCTGCTAAAGGATGCAAGGGCACCCAAGGCTCCAGGTCAGTAAGAGGGAGGGTGTCAAACACAGTGGTCAGGAAAGCTGGGAAGACAGCTCTGGAGGTGGGCCAGCCCCTCTGCGGGGAGGACACTACCTGTAATGATTGCATGGTGGCCCCCAACACTGGCCAGGTCTTAAGCCCTGGAACCTGTGAATGTGGCCTTATTTGAAACCAGGGTCTTTGGAGCTGTAATTAAGATAAATTAAAAACCTCAAGATGAGATCATTCTGGATTCAGGGTGGGCCCTACACCCAATGACAGCGGTCAAAAGAGAAAAACAGGAAGATTTGAGACACACAGGGTAAGGTTGTGTGAAGACGGAGGTGAGGCTGGAGGGACAAGGCTACAAGCCAAGGAACGCCAGGGGCCACCAGGAGCTCCAAGAGGCTAAGGAGGATCATCCCCAAGAGCCTTGGGAGGAGCACAGCCCTGAATGCCTTGATTTTGGACTTCTGGTCTCCAGAACCTTGAGAGAATAAATTCCTTTTATTTTAAACTGCCCAGTTGGTCGTGATTTGCTACAGCAGTCACAGGAAATTGGTATACTGCCTTTCTTGCTAGTGGGTCCCAGGCTCTCAGAGGTTGCCCAAGGTTAAGTTGGCTTCCTGATACCACTCTTGAGCTGTAGAAGAGCCCATTGAGATAGGACATCTGCCTGGTTACCTGAGCCCAAGCCACCTGAGTAACAAAGGGAACGTTTATTCTGGGTTGCACATGCTGGGGAGAGCCTGGCACGGTGGGGGTGGAGGCGAGGGCAAGCAAAGGTGAGGAGAGAATAGGGGCTTCCTTTCATGACTCACCTTGGGAGCTTTCCTGATCCGGTGGGGACGACCTAGCCCTTGCATGTGATGCTGCGGCTCTAGGGCCCAGTATCGGCCATCCGTCAGCACCCCTGTTCTTCCGGGGCACCCATGCCTGCAGAACCCTTGGATCTATTTCAGTTCAAAGTCTGACTCAAGACTTGGAAGGCCGCATGTGGTTTTCTCAGAAGCCATACACACATAGTGGGGAAGGGCCTTGTGATGGCATCTAAAACCCTTCATTTTATAGGGGAAAATGAGACATTTTTTCGGACCCAGTCAGAGCATTTCAAATCTTGTTTTCATTTCCTCAAGCCAAGTGCAGTGGGCGCCCCCCCCCCCCCCCCCCCCCCGTCCCCACGGCTCTGATAAGCAGCCCACTTATCAGCACAGGGGATGAGTTACGTTCTCAAATAACCAGGCAAGAGGCTTGCTGTAGGGCGGTAGGGGAAAATGGAATAAAGACCCTATTCTTCAAACGAATTTATTTTTAGACTTGCTGCTTCCACCCCAAAGCTGGGCCGCTCCCCTGACACTCCCTCCCTCTTGCCCAGTCTGGGCTCTGACCCACGCTTTCTGAATCGCCAGTGGGGAAGGCGGTGAGGGCGCCCAGCCCGGGTGTCCCCGGCGGGGCTGCCTACTCACCCGCCCCGCAGCCCCTCGGGGGCGACGGTCTCGGAAGGGCCGGGCCGTCAGTAAGGAGGCGACAGGAAGAGGTGCGGCGGCGGCGGCGGGGGGAAGGCGGGCAGCAACCAGGGGGCGCGGGGCGCGGGCGGCGCCAGCAGGCTGGAGGGCGAGGGCCGCGCGGGCAGCGGCGGCAGCGGTAGAGGGGGCGGCTCGGCGACGAGCGGCGGGCGGCCACGCGCGCCCACGGGCCCCGGCGTGGCGGCGACCGCGGCCTCGGGCAGCGGCGGCAGCGGCAGGTGCGCGGGGGGCGGCGCGGGCGCGGGCAGGCGCGGCAGGTCCTGCAGCGCGAGCGCGGCGGCAGGCGGCGCCGGCATGCAGGCCTCGGGCGGCAGCTCGGGCAGCGCCAGGTGCGCGCCGAGGCCCCAGGGCGCCAGGGGCTCGGGCCGCAGCGGAAGCGCGGGCAGCGGCGGCAGCTCCGCCAGGGCGAGCGCCGAGGGCGGCGGCGGCGGCGGCGCGGGGCTCAGGCCGGGCGGCAGGCTGGGCAGCGGCGGGTGCGGCAGGCACGGCGCGGGCGGCGGGGTCAGCGACAGCGACGCGCGGGCCCGGCCCAGCCGCGAGTGCGCGCGGGCGCGGGCGAGCCGCGGGGTCGAGCGGGAGCGGGGGAGCCGCGAAGCCAGCTTGGCCGCCGCTGCCGCGCCGGGGCCCGGCGCCCGCCTGCCGCCGCGACCCGGTCCTTCCCACGGGTGGCCACGCGCCGCGCAGTGACCGGCCCAGCCAATCACGGGCCAGTGCGCTGGCCGCCTTCGCGTGGGTCCCCCCAGCTGGCACGAGCTACTCCTGGCGGCCAATCAGAGGCGGCAGCGCTCTCTGTCAGGTTCTTCGTCCTGCCCTACCGCGGTCCCAACCAATCACGGCGTCCCGCGGTATCACAGGCCCCACCCCCACCAGCCCCGCGAGCAGGCGCTGCACACGCGCAGTTGGCGCCCCCACCTGGCCTTCCGGTCCGTTGAGCTGGTGCAGCCTCGCGGCGACCAAGGAGATTTGCCTTTGGTTGACTCTGGAATGAGACACCTGGGCGTGGGTCAAGACCTACGCAGATTCCCATTCAATTATCTTAAAGAAAAGATAATTCAAAACCAGAATTTGATGACATGGAGCATTTACGTTATTGTTAACACAGGATATAAATGACAGATGGGTGACAATCAGAAGAAAAGGAGAGAGTGGTCAATCTCTTTAAAATCAGAATATAGAGTAATATTAGAACATTTCTAGGTGGGTTAGGAAGGCTATCACCCATTGCCCTCACGGAGACAGTCCGCTGGGTGGCCCCTGTGCCCAGAGATTGTGTTCTAATCCTGTTCTCCAGTGTTAACAAAAATTCAACTGAGTAAATTTGCAGATTTAATTGGCTTTAAGCGATTCGAGCAGCATCTGACCCACCAAGTAGAAGGGAGGTGCCAGGAGTTGTGCAGCATGGAAGGTTTTTATAGGAAGGAGGGGGAGGGGGCAAGGGAGTTATTAGCAAAAGAAAAGATTGTTCCTTCCAGGCAAGGTCACCTTCTCTTAGGAGGTGGGGGGGGGGGAGTCTTAGGTGGATTACCTCATCTTCCTTTGGGGGGCGGATAGTGAGGGCCCATGGGACATTAACTCATTGGTGCTGACCAGAGAATCCCTGACTGACCGGTTGAGACTTTCTGGGGGAGGTGGGAACTGCAATTAAGTTAGGTGGTAAGCCCCCCATTTGGGGACTTGGCCTAAGTCGCTCCATTTTTGGCTTGTGGTTTTCTTTCTAACACCAGTAAAAAGATGTGCTTTATTCTACCTTTATTCACCTTGGGGCAGAGAAAGATGAGACTATTTGGATATATTTCTTAAAGATTTTATTTATTTGAGAGAGAGAGAGAGAGAGCTCACACGCATGGAGGGGGAAGGGGCAGGGAGAGAGTGAGAAGCAGACTCCCAGAGCAGAGACTTCATCCCAGGACCTTGAGAGCATGACCTGAGCCAAAGGCCGACGTTTAACTGACTGAGCCATCCAGGCAACCCTGACTACTTGGTTATTTTATTTATTTATTTTTTAAAGATTTTATTTATTTATTTGAGAGAGCACAAGCAGAGGGAGCAGCAGACTCCCTGCTGAGCAAGGAGCCAGATGGGGGGCTCCATCCCAGGACCCCAGGATCATGACCTGAGCAGAAGGCAGGCACTTAACCAACCCAGCCACCTAGGTGTCCCTGCTTGGATATTTTTAAAGAATTAGTAGTTCTGTGAAAAAGGAAGAGTCCAGGGGGTGCCTGGGTGGTTCAGTCGGTTGAGTGGTTGAGTGGGACTGGCCTGTCTCTGAGTAAAAGTTCAGAATAGCAGGTCAATCCCCAACTGTGCAACCTCCATTCTGGGCCCAGGTAAAAACAGTACTTTGCTTCCGCATTTCTGGGCAAGCAAATTTGTAATCATGGGATAAGAAAAAGCAGCAATCCAGTAGCACTAATATGGATACTGGATTAGTAACTGGCTTTTTAAGGCGTTTGAAAGCGTTCAGTAATCTGAGATACTAATTTATTCATTTCCAAGGGTCCCTTAAGTGCTTAGGAAGAAGTTACTGGTTAGATTTGTAGATCAAGGAGATTCTGTGTGTAATTGAAGTGTAGAAGGGAATTGAGTTAATCCGGTTTGTAAGGCATGCTAAATATCCAGGGGGAAGTCAGATCTGTCAAACTCATAATCTAAATGAGCATTATTCAGAGAATGTGAAAATGAGTTTTACATCCAAATTATAAAATTAATCAGTACAATAACATTGGGAAGCAAGTGGAAGGCTTAAGAGAAAAAGATTTTTTCTTTAATAACTAATAAGTTGATTATAAATGTAGACATAAATAATGCACAAGTCCCCTCCCTAACTTGGATGTGACTCCCCCACTAAACTGACGAAGTGCTGTTCCGTTTATGGAATGGATGAATGAGGGGGTGGCCCGGGCTGCCCCCACCCCAGCCAGCAATCCCCCCAGCACAGCACACAGAGGCAAACAGGGAAGCATGTCACCTTTATTAATACTTTCAGCCCTCAGGAGACCCCAGGCCAGAAGCCAAGCTTCAGAGTCTGGCTGTCCTCGCCCAACACACCAGGCTGTGGTACAGAGGCTCTCAGGATGGGCAGTGGAAGAGCCTTGGTGCTTAGCATTTCCCGAGAGGGCAGGGGCCTGGGAAAAGGCAGGGCCCTGATGAGGTCTGGAACCCTCCTCACCTCCCAGGGGACCTGAGCCTTCTCCCGCCTCTGGTCTCTAAGATCAGTCACTCAGCAGATGAGAGCCTGCTGTCCCTAGAGCCTGCTGTCCCTCCCAAGGGCTGAGACAGCCCCAGTGCAGCCTGGAGGGGCAATGATGGTGACATAGGGCGAGTAGGGGACAGGGCCACCGTGACCCCTCTCACCTCCATAGCCATTTCCCAGTGGACCACTGCTGCCTCTCTTCACCTCAGGGTTGCCTAAGGCACAGATAAGCCAGGGCACCGGGTCACAAGGGCTTCAGAGTCCTGCCCTCCCCAGCTTCACCCCCAGCCCTGGGAGACTGCCACTCACCGAAGGGTCCAGGGCCCAGCTCTGGCCTCAGCTGTCCATAGGTCGCTGGGGGGAGGGACAAAAGGTGGGAGTACGGAGTCCCCAGTGGTCCTCACGTGGGGTCTGTGACTTCCCAATCTTGGTCTCGTGTCCGGGCTCATGCTCAGGGTCCCCTGCTCCACCTGTCTCTCTTCAAACCCCATCCATTCCTGCCTAACCCCTGCTGTCCCTGTCCTACACCTTCTCTATAGGCCCAGGACCCAGCTCCCTCCAGCCACACCTGACAACCCCATGATGCTCTTCCACACACCCCCTTACCTGGCTGGCTCCTGACCCCTGGATATTCGCCTCCAGTCCCATATCCAGGCTTCAAGGCAAGCCCCCAGGGCTACACGGAGGGCCAAGAAGAGCCCCTTAGGGCCCCGGCCCGACCTGTAGAAGGAGAGCTACTGTGGGTACCCCTGCCCACCAGTACGGGACATCCAGGATGCCACAAGCCTCCCAGGCCCTCAGAGGTCCTTGCCGACTTGCTTGGTCCCCATGTCCCTTGCCAGGTTCACCCCCTAAACACTCATTTCCTACCATTTGCTTCAGGGCCTGGAACTGCTGCTTTGGGCTACACTGGTGCTTCATCCCCATACCCTGTAAGAGATTCAAGTGATTCCTGCCCAGCCCCCGGATGTCCCTCCCCCTGAGCCCCTGTACTCTGTCCTCTGTCCCTGACTCACCATTCCTAAAACTATTGGCCCCGGGGAACTCTGGAGGAGGGAGGAGTAAGTCAGAGACAGGAGTAGCCCCTGAGCCCAGGGCCCCCACCCCAGCCCAGCACTCCCAGGCACCTGGCTGCGAGTGGGCCACAGGGAAGATCCCAGCTCCCAGACCATTCCCGTAAGCAAAACCTGCAAGACAACAGTGGGAGAAAGGCTGCGTGAATGTGGAGGAAGGTGGGGGGGCTCAGGGTGACCAGCTCATGAAGAGACAGGAGACGGCAGACAGACAGACAGACTGACACCGAGGCAACCGACATTCTCCCCACACCCAGCCAGCTAACCCTGTGCAACCTCTGGTGTCCCACCTTCTGGAAGCCTGTCCTGGCCTCCCTCTGGCGGCTTCCCTTTCCACCCCAGGACTGTACCGCAGTGTGCCACCCAACCCTCACCGGACACACGGCAGCACCTGTCTCTGGCCGTCATTATGGCCTACTGCAAGTGAATGCATGCTGGCTCAATAAGGAAAGAGCCAGCCACGGCAAGAGACACGGACAAGCAGGGCTTGCCATAGGGAAGATAGCAGCTTGCACCCAAGGGGCCCAGGGGGCTCACCGACTTTCTGAGGCTTGAGGCCACCACCAAAGCCTGAGAGAGAGGAAATGGGGGGCAGAGATGGAGGAGTCAGAGAGCCGAAGTCTCTGACTCCCCTCTTCCTGAGCTAGGGGACAGGAGAGGAGGGGAGGGCAGGAGCCTCCTCACCCAGTGCTGTTCCTGGTCCATAGCCATTCAGGGGCTGGTATCCTGTGAAGAGAATGGAGATCAGCGGAGAGCACCCAGACTTTCCCTAACTCCTTGGGGGCCAAGTATGGATGTTAGGAGCTCTGAGGAGGAAGAAGGGATACTCCCTATCGACAGGAAATAGAACCGGGAGAAATGGGCTTAGAAAGCAGCAACAGAGACTGCGGGTAGACTCGAGAAGGGACTTCCTGGACTTAAGGAGCCTGAACAGCTGAGGCAGACCGGGGCTCAAGGATGATGGAGGAGTGACCCTGACCTGGTCTGGGGACAGGGGGCAGACGGAGTCACACCTGCTTTCTGAGGTTTCAGCCCCCGCTGGATTGCTGGAGTCAGTTCTAGGAAGAAAACCATGGGATAGGAGTGAGCTTAGGGCAGGGAGGGTTGGGAATGCTGCAGCCTGCCCTGGGGGCGGGGCTGGGGGGAGCTGCCCTAATGGGGGTCCCACGGGGTCTCACGGCCAGAGTTTAGGCTTTCCCTCAGCTGGCTCTCGGTGACGAGCCTCAGTCTCAGTTAGAGAATGGCCCTGGGGGCTTCTGAGCAGCCCAGCTAGACCCAGCCCCTCCTGAGACCAGGGATCCCCTGGTGCCCCCCAGGGCCCCCCACTCCACACTGACCTGGGAACTTGCCATTCTGCCCTGGGGGAGAGGGCTGAGATTTGGGGCCCCAGCCGCCCCCTTTATCAGAAGGGACCCCCGAAGTGGGAGGCCTGGGGAGCAGTGGAGGGACCCTCCCATTGCAGGGACCTAGATGGAGGAGGAAGGGGGAGGGCAGTGAACCCAGGCTAGCGTCTGCCCCAGGCCGCTCTCCCAGCCTCAGCCTGGCCAAGCCACCAGCCTGTAGTGACTTCCAGGACAGACACAGCTTCCAAGGGGGGCCACTGGCCAGGCTAGAGAAAGCCCCACTCCCGTGGCGCTTGGGGGACAAGGTGACCCAGCCACCTAACATGGCTCCTGCTGCCGGCCCACTTAGACCTTCTGCCTTCCAGCAACATCTCTCCTGCCTCTCTCCTGGGGCGCCTCCCTTCACACCCAGCCCTGCCCAGAAGCCTCACCTGGCTGGGCCCCCACCCCATTTCCATTGCCATATCCTGGAGAGAAAAACCAGGGATATGAGGGGTAGTAATTTGGCGGGGAGGGTTCTGGAAGGAGGCAGGAGGAGGTGCAGGATAGAGATGGGGGGGGTCTCTCACTTGCCTGGCTTTTGAGGCTTCACACCCCCTCCCAGAGCTGGAGAGACAGGCCCTCTCACACTTCAGACCTCAAGCTCCTAAGAAAGAGCCCTGTCTCCCCTCCTGAAGCCCCTCGGCACTCACCTGCTGGGAGCTGCAGCCCCGGCCCTGGTGTGTATCCTGGGGAGAAAAGCAGGCATGAGGGCTGGGGCTGGGGTGGTGGCAACTTCAGAGCAAGGCAGGAGAGGGGCAAGGACGGGCTCACCTAGCTTTGGAGGGCTCATGCCCCTTCCCAGGGCTGGGGAGAGACAGAAACAGGCTGAGTGACAGCGGACCCCACCCTGCCCCTTCTCTTCCCCAGGACCCAACTCTTTGCCCCATGGGGCCCTGCACCCCCTCCTCCCCTGCCCCCCACCTCCCAGCACTCCAGGGCCTGCCCCTGCCTCCCTCATCTGGCTGGGCCCCCTGGCCTGGGAAGGCTCCGGCTCCCAGCCCATTCCTATAAACTGGGAGACAGGGTGTGGGTTGTGAAGGGGAAAGCAGTGAGGGGAGTAGACAGTTTCTGAGGGTAGAGAGCAGTAGGGGCCCGATTCTAACACTGATCCCAATTCTGGATTTTTCCCACAGCACCAAGCAATTCTCCCAACACCAGCTGCATGTCTGACAACGTAACTCAATCCTGACACCAGCCACCTGCAGACAACCTCAGGTCCACAGGTTAAGGGCTCAGTCCCCGCCCCCCCATTTCAGGCACCACCCCCAGCCCGGGTGGCCACCTGTATATCTGACCCACTAGCTATAAACCCAACTCCTTGGGTGTGACTGATTTGCTAGGGCAGCTCACAGAACTCAGGAAAACCGTTTCCTTCCTAGAATCCAGGCTTATTACAAAGGCTAGAACTCAGGACCAGCGGACAGAAGAGATGCAGAGGCCAGGCGTGTGGGAAGGCCTGAGGGGCCTCTGCCCTCCCCACACCTCCATGGGGTCACCCACCCAGAAGCTCTCCCGACCTGGCCCTTTCAGGTTTTTAGGGAGGCTTTGTTACACTAGCCCGGCTTGTGACCCTTTCCATCTCCAGCCGGGCCCCTCCCCAGAGGTCAAAGGGTGGGACCGAAAGTTCCAACCCTCTAATCACAAGGTGGGTTCCCCTAGCAACCAGCCCCCAACCTTAGGTGACTCAGGGGCTCTCCAAAAGTCCCCTCATTAACATAATAAAAGACACCTCTACAGCTCTCCTCACTTAGGAAATTCCAAGGCTTTGAGGGGCTCTGTGCCCAGGCCTGCAGATCAGTTATTTCTTCTTAGAAGTCACAGTATCACTGGGAGGGAGGAAGGCTTTACCTGGCTTCTGCGGCTTCCCGCCCTCACCAATGCCTGAAGAAGAGATGGGAGCAGGTGAGCGACCTACTCCCCATCTCTGGGCCTCTCCAGAACCCTGGCAACTGGCCCCAGTGCCCGCTTCCCTACCTGGTCCGTAGCCCACGGGAACCGCAGGGCCTGTGGGGATGGAGAGGCTCAGGTACGAAGGGCCAGAAACCCAGGACCTCCTGGGCCTCCTGCCGCCTCCATTCAATCGCCAGCCCCGCCCTCTCCTAGTCTGGCAGGACCCCCGGAACAGGGCCTGGGTGAGGACCAGCGCTCCCCGCCAGGCCCTCCACTCCTCTCCCATCAGTACCTGCTCTGTAGCCTTTGTGAGCTGGAGGACCTGTGCTGGGAGGTGGATGAGCAGGGGGTTGGGGCTGGCTAAGGTAGGGGAACCACCTGTGGTCCCCCTTCAGAGCCCAGCCAGAACCAGGGGTCCTGGAGGCCCCACCAACTGCTCTTAAGCATTTGCTAGCCCTGCTCCTGCAAGGCCTGGAGGGAGGCAGGACAGGACGCCAGACTTGTACCCCCCACCCCAGTCTCACCTGGCTGGGCTCCCAGCTCGTTGCCATTCCCGAATCCTGGGGCAGGGGGGCGGGGACAGGTAGACGGGGTGTGAATGGAGAGAGATAGGCAGGGGTGAGGCTCACCTGGCTTCTGGGTTTTACCGCCCCCCACCTAGGCTCGGGGAGGTGGAGGCTGATGTCGACCCTGCCAGACCTCTCCTCAGGGTCTCCTGCGCCCCCAGTTCCTGCTTTTCTCCCAACTCCTCGGGACCCAGACCTGGCTGCCCTCACATAGCTGGGCTCCTGGTCCATTTTCGTTACCATATCGGGGGAGGAGAAACAGGGGTGGACGTGAGGGGCAGTGTTTGCAGGGGTTCAGGAGGAGGCAGGACAGAGCCGGCAGTGTCAGGAAGACGTGGGTGCCAGGTCGCCTCCTCCCTCCCCGGGCCTACTGGGCCACAGGCTAAGCTCTCCATCTCCCCACCACGTGGAAGCCAGCCCTCTCCCGTCCTCGCCCGGGCCCCAGCCCCTGGGAAGGCCATGCCTCCCAGCGGTTCCCTGTCCTAGAGAGTGATAGGGAGGCCGAGGAGGGGGTGCTCTGGCTTCAGGGGGTTCACGGATACAGACAAGACTGGGGCAGGACTCACCTGGCTTCTGGCCCTTCATGCCCCCACCAAAGCCTGGAGGAGATACAGGAGCAGGTGAGGGGCCCAGGAGCCCCATCTCAGGGCCTCCCCAGGGTCCTCCCACTCTGCTCCTACCTGCTCCATATCCGTTCTGGGTCACTAGGACTGTGGGAAGAGGAAGGGTGAGTTGGGGGACTTGGGGTCCAGCTGAGGTAGAGGTGAAGGTGCCCCCTTCAGAGCCAAGCCCGAAAGGTGGAATCTTGGAGGCTTCCTCTAGTGCTCCCTCAATTATTTACTGACCCTGCCCCTACACGGCCTGGAGGGGGGTGGGAGAGGGTGCCCAGATGCAGACCCCCAGCCCCCCTAGTCTCACCTGGCTGGGCTCCCAACCCGTTGCCATTCCCGAATCCTGGGGGACAGATGGGGGCTGTGTGAATGGGGGAGGGGAGCTTATGGTTTGGGGGTGGAGATAGACAGGGGTGAGGCTCACCTGGCTTCTGAGGCTTCATACCCCCTCCAAAGCCTGGTGAAGACAGGGAGCAGATGAAGGCCCAGTCCCCATCTGTGGGTGTCCCCAGAGCCCTAGAAGGTGCCTACCTGGTCCGTAGCCATTTTGAGTTGCAGGACCTGATGGAAGGCAAGAGGGGCTCTGGGTGGGGCCAGTCACTCTCTGAGGCTCCCCATGGAATCTGGAATCTACTGCCACCCCCACCCAGTTGAGCCCCTGACCTCCCCCTGGGGCCTGACTCCCTGGGGAGCCTGAATGCTGCCTGGGTCCCCTCTGGTCGGGCGTCATGCCACCACGTGCACCAGCCAGCCATGGAGGCCAACTCTGTGAAATGGCTTCGCCCCACCAAGCACAGGGTCCATACTAGCCCCTACCACCTCAGACTCTGAGCTGTTTCCAGAGCCTGTACCCCCTCTGCAGCTCTCACGGAGGCCCCAGCTCAAGCACCCCCAGATTTTTCAGTGGGCCCCAGTGGTCCTCCCCCTGGCCTCTGCCTCCTCTTCCCCAAATGCTCCTGGCTCCCCACCAGTGCACCCCCTGGCCACTTGTACTCACGCTCCTTTCCTGTCCACCCACCCCAGCGCACCCCAGGCTCAGGAGGGGCCTGTCTCCCACCTGGCCAGCCCCTGGTGGTCTGTTGAACTAATGTTGCTCACACCAGGTGGGAGAGGTGGCCGTGGCAAGCGGGTCTCATGTGGTTTCTGTGGCTTCAGTCCTCCCAGGCATAGGGAAGACCAGGAGGCTGACTGTGTGTCGTCCCCCCCCCCCCCCCCCCATCGGAACTAGGCCTGGGCTGAGCTCCTAGAGCTCCAGAGCCTCACCGGGCTGGGCTCCTACTCCCGGGAAGGCGCCACCTCCCAGCCCATTCCCATTCCTGAATCCCGGGGAGACAGAGCAAGAGGGAATAAGGGGGATCTGGGGCTTGGAAGCATAGACAAAGAGATAGCTGGCAGGGAGACAAAGAGTGGGGCTCACCTGGCTTCTGTGGTTTTCCACCCCCTCCAAAGCCTGGGGGAGAGGCTAGCAGATGAGGGACCCGGAAGCCCAGCCCTGGCTCCCAGCTTCAACCCCATCCCCTTGCTACCCCTGGTCCAAAGCTATTCTGAGCTGCAAGATCTATTGGGGGGGGGTGACATGGAAAAGCGGGGTGGTGCTGAAATAGGCCCCCAGACTCCCCCGTCCCTGCTGCCTGGACCCCTCCCCTCCCCTCACACATCCCTCCTTTCAGCCTGGCTACCAGAGTGGGGTAGGGGGCCGTGGGACCTGTGACAGGAGAGGGGCTGGGGAGGAAGGCAGCAAGGGACCCAGCCCCCAGACCTCTCCCCACAGCTGCCCTCCGTCCCTCTGGCCCAGTTTAAGCCCGACGCTTCCTGCCACCAGCCGCCTCAAGTCCTCCCACCTAGCCCTGGAGCCCAGGGTGCTTCCCTCTGGCTTAAAACCCCAAGGGTACACGCCATTGCAAGCTTAAAGCCCCTCAGGACTGGGCATGCTGGCTGGCCCAGGACAGGCACCTGAGCGCTGGTGGAATTAAGGGGCTCCTAAGAGCCCCTCTGCTAGGAATCAAGGCCTGGGCCGAGACCCTGACCTCTCCAGTCATGTGCCCCCGCCCCAGCTGCCCCAGCATGGCTGGGCCCCCAGCTATTGCCAGTGCTTCGGCCTAGAGAGGAAAAGCAGTGTGAGGCGTGGGCTTGGGGAGGAGGGTCAGGGGCTGGGGGACTGAAGGCAGGGCCTGGGGAAACACCCAGAGCCACGGAGCCACATGTGGACATCATCCCATCCTATTCTCCCCTCAGAAATCAGTTTTCTGCCCTCCAGTCCCTGACCTCCCTAGCTCCTCCCCAGAACCCAGCTTGGCCCAGGTGCCCTCACCTGGCTGGGCTCCAACTCCCATCCCATTCCCATTGCCAAATCCTGGGAAGACAGCAAGAGGGAGTCAGGGGAGGCCGGAAGACCAGGTGGAAGAAGACAGACATAGGGACAGCATGCAACTGACCTGGCTTTTGAGGTTTCACGCCCTCTCCAACTCCTGAGAAAGGGTCAGGGACCAGGTGAGGGAGCCTGGAGCTCCCCCACACCCATGCCTATGCCCCCCCAGTCCCCACCCCGCACCTGGTCCCTGGCCACCATCCTGAGCCACAGGACCTGTGGAGAGAGGGAGGGCAGGGCTGGAGCTGGGCCAGTGTGGCTTCTCTGGGGGGGGCTCCCCCCTCCTGTGCTGACCTCACTCAGGACCTCTGTGTCCCTCAACTGTTCTTTGCAGGAAGCATGCCCTGAGAAGGGCTTGGAAGTTGGGAAGACCCTCCCCAAGACCACAGCTCAGGCCGTAGGAACGACAGCAGCAGCCCAATGAAGGGAGCAGTCCCTCAGCGGGGTGACACATGCCCAAGGTGGGGACATGGAGAGAGGGCCGCTCTCCCCTCACCTGGCTTCTGAGGATTCATTCCCCCTCCCAAGCCTGGGTTGAGACCGAGAGGCTCCCCCCACCCCCAACTTTCTCTCCTACTTGTTCCCTGTTCCAACTCTACCCCTCCTCCCCCTTTCCCCTCCCCGGGCTCAGGCTCCAGGTGTCCTCACCTGGCTGGGCTCCCAGCCCTGGGAAGGCACCAGCTCCCAGTCCGTTTCCATATACTGGGGAGACAGAGCCAGAAGAATAAGAAAGAGGGGGCTGGACTTCAAAGGGAGCCAGACAGAATGCAAGGTGGTTAGAGGAGTGGGCATGGAGGGAGCATCTCACCTGGCTTCTGGGGTTTCACACCATCTCTAAAACCTGGGGAGAGAGATATGGTAGATGAGGGGATCCCAGGGACCCAGCCTCTTCCTGGGGCTCCATAGCCATGCTGAGCTGAGAGGTGAGGCAAAAGGCTTTTGGGGTCCCAGCTGAGATGGGGGTGAAACAGGGGTGCCCTTCTTCTCCCCTCCCCCAAACTTTTATGGTCCTTCTCTTCCACCTGCAATGATTCACCAGTTCTGCCCTGGGGGAGCCTGGAAGAAGACTCTCCCAATGCTGACCCAGCCTTATCAGCCCCATGCTCTTCTCCCACCTTACCTGGCTGGGCGACAGCACCTGGGAAGGCCCGTACTGCCAGCCCATTTCCGTTTCTAAACCCTGGAGAATGGGGCAGGAGGGGCTCAGGGAGGAATAAGGGAATAATGGGGAGGGGGGAGGTAAGGCAGAGATGGAGAGAGACAGGGTGGGGGGCTCACCTGGCTTCTGGGGTTTCACACCCCCTCCAATGCCTGAGAGGGAGATGAGGATCAAGTGAGGGTCTCAGATCCCATTTCAGGAATACCTAGAATCCTGACCCCAGCTCCCAATCACCCTGGGCCCACCTCTACCTGTTCTGTAGCCATTCTGAGCTGGAGGACCCATAGGGAGAGGGAGGGATGAACAGGGGAGGTTTGGAGTCCTAGCTGGGGTGGGGGTACAGGACCCTTAGACCCCACCAGAAACAGCAAACTGGAAGGCTCCCTCTCTGCCCCCTCAATATTAAAAAATCCTGATCCTCCCCTCTAAGGCCTGGGAGGGAGACAGACAGAACCAACCCCCAGCACCCACCAATCTCACCTGGCTGGGCTCCCAGCCCATTCCTGTTCCCAAATCCTGGGGGGACAGATGGAGATAAGGGGTATGAGAGAAAAGTGGGGAGACAGAGCTGGGTCTGGGCAGTGCCCACCTGGCTTCCAAGGTTTAACAGTCCCTCTGAAGCCAGGGGAGATCCAGGGAATTGGTGAGGGTCCCAGGAGCCTCCCCCACCCCCTTGGCCACCAGCCATTCTGAGCAGCAGGCCTATGGGAATTCAGCTGTGGTAGGCCCATCCCAAAGAGGGTGGGGAGCCAAGCTGGAGAACAGGAAGGGGGCCTTGGAGCCCAATCCCAGCAGGCCCAGAGGACGTGCAGTGAGCCAGACCTGCCCTGCCTGCATGGGGCTCAGAGGGGGCGGCACAGAGAACAAGCAGGGACAGGAAAGAGTTGGGGGTGCCCAGAGCGGGGCACACGGGTGAGATGACATCAGAACAGTCTTGATGGATTCCTAGGTGAGAGGGGAGTGTGTGCGGGAGGAAAAGGAGGCCAGCCGGAAGGGGTCACAGTTCACTTCTCTGGGGGGTGGGGTGGGGTCAGCACTGCTTCTCCCAACCCCCAAATCCCATTTGCCCATCTCTCGCCTGCTCCCAGGCCACTGGGGGAGCTGTAGCCTGGCGGGGCTGGGGGGGAGGGGGAGACAAGAAGTTGAGCCTGAAGGGCCAGGAGGGGCCAAGAGCTGGGGTGCCTCACCCTTGTTCAGAGGACACGGCTGCTCCCACCCTGCCCACCCTCTCAGCCAGCTGTACCTGACCTATAGCCACTGGGGCTCCCTAAGCCTGTGGGTGGCGGAGAAGGGGGTTAACTTAGAGGGGGCAAAGGGCCCAACCTGAATGCTACCCCTCCCGCTCTGCAAGCATGAGTGCAACCCCCTCTCTGGGCCTCAGTTTCTCCTCCGGTCACAGGAGGGGAGAGGATAGCGCCAGGTGAGCAGCCTGGAGGCAGGGGCATGGAGGGAGGTGTTTGGGCCATATCCCTGGGGGCAGATTGCTCTGCACCTTCCTCGGGCACGCGAACACCTCTCCCCTCCATTCTTACTTTGGAGAGTCGATGGACCCCTCCTTTCCTGGAAATTTCATCCTCCTGGTGCCCCACCCCCTAACCCTAATCTTTCTCTCCTGCAGCTTAGGGGCATCAGGTCTCAGGAGGGAGCCCCTTCTCCCACCCTGAGGACCCCCCAGATCCCTGGAGTGAAGACCCT